GGCATTGTGGGTGGTGTTGGTGAGGTTTGGGATGGGGGTGTGTTTCGGGTGTGTGGGATTTGTTGGGAGTGAAGCTCCAGTTCCGATGGAGTCGGTGTGCTGACCGTGCTCCCGGAGAACTTGGATTTTCCACATGGATGTGCTTGGAGCAGTTCAGCTCTCCCTGTGAAAGCGCTCGGGGTTTGGGTTCATTGCCCTCTGCTGTGATGGCCAGAGGGGTTGGGGCTGTCTGGGAGCTGTTCAAGGAACAGCTGTGTGTTCACTGGCTGAGGGGGCTTTTGCTGCAGATGGATGCAGCTGATTTCTGCCATGGGCTTCTCTTTGTCAGGAATGAAGTACTTCCCCGAGGCAGACATCCACTACCAGGACAGGATCTTGGGGGATGGGCAGCTGCTGCCTGAGAAGTTCAATGGTTTCTGTAACCTGGAGAAGTTCTACACGGACCCCAGGTCTCCGGACGGGCACTCCTACCGCCTGCAGTCCTGGATCTTTGGGAACCGTGTCCTGCAGTATGCCGATGCCCTGGAGCACCTGCTCAGCACAGGTTGGGGAATCATGGAATGGGTTGGGCTGGGAGGGACCTTGCAGCTCCTCTCCTTCCAACCTGGGGCCTGCTCTCCCTTGCAGGTCAAGGCGTGGTGCTGGAGCGCTCTCCCTACAGCGACTTTGTGTTCCTGGATGCCATGTTAAAGCAGGGATATGTCCACAAGAGATGTGAGTTCCTGCCAGCAAAAGGAAGCTGCTTTGCCATAATCTCTTGGAAGTCTGGGAGTTTACTTTAAAAAAAACAAAAAAATTCCTGCTTGGAAGGAGGGATTCCTTTAAATATTCAGTGTTCATGTGTTTCTGAGTGGATCTAGTCTGGTCTTAGTGGCTGTGGGAGAACAAAAATAAAGGGCACAAATTGAAATGCAAAATCTTTCATTTGTAAGGAAAAGCCCTTTTTTGCTGTGAAGGGAGTCAAACCCTGGAGCAAATCACCTGGGGTCTCTCCCCTGGAGATACTTGGAATGCTGTGGGTGGAGTTCTCAGCAGAGTGGTTGAGCCAGGTGATTTGGGGATGATCCTCCCAACCTGAGTGATTTGGTTTGGGGTTATGGGTACTCGGTGAATCTTTTCTTTTGGCTGCTCCTGACATAGAGATAACTGTTTTCTTGACTGCCTTCTGTTTTTGCTGTTGGATTTAAGAAGTGTGTGTTTTTTACCACCTGCTGTAAGTTGCTGGATTGCTTTGAGAGCTGATTATAATGACGTGTGTCTTCTTCCTCTGCATTGCTAAGGCAGCAAAGCCCAGCAACCCACAACTTAATACAAAAACCCAGTTTGGATTGTACTGGAGTCCTTAGGGAGCAAACATCTTGATTAGAGCTACCATGGCTTACTGTCTGTAAATGGTGGAAGAAAAGCTGAGATTCCTCTAAACCTCAGTCAGGAATAAAGTCTCTCTTTGATAATGGGTTTAGATTCTTATATCTCAGTGCATGGAACTTTCCTGGAGCTAGCTTATTCTGTAAACTTCCTGAATTCTGTTTGAGGAAAAGCCTACCTTAAACTTGCTCTATGAGCCCAGAAGAAGAGACTGCAAATACAGAGGTGGGGAATGTGATTTATTTGTGTTTTACACAGGCCTTGATCACTACAAAGAGGTCAAGGAGATCAGCATTTCTGAGTTGCTGCCACCTCACTTGGTCATTTATGTAGATATGCCTGTCCCTGAGGTGCAGAAGAGGATTCAAGAGAAAGGCAAGGTAATTTGATCTCTGATTATTGCCTATTTATCTCTTATCTTTGTTACTTGTCTCTCACAGTTGCTGCTTGCTAATGTCTGCCGTAATCACACCTTATGTGGTCCTGTGGGGTTTGCTGCTGAATTCTGCTTCTGAGGAGCTGCTTGTCCTCTGAGGTGTGAGATCTGTGTGGTAGTGATGCCTTTGTGGGTATTCTTATATGTTTGGTTTAGAAAAATAAAAAGCAAAAATCAACTCTTTTTTTTAGTGACTGCATCAATATGTTGTCATTTGTGGAATGAGAAATTGTTTTAAGAGCAGGTGAATTTTTATACCAGATGCTGTAGCTGCCACTATAGGAGCTGTGGGCAGTGATGTGCTGCTTGCAACGCACTTGGAGATGATACATTTCTTAATCCTGAGTGCCAGGAGCCTGGCTGGGCTCCCTGGCTCTTGCTTCCCAGTTGACTGCTTCCTCACACCTGTGCTGGGGTTCATGTGTGAGTCACCTGGGATCAGCAAGTTCACTTAATTCCCTGAAAACCAGCAAATCACTGCTGGATGACTGTGTTATTGAACTGATCTTAGCTCAGGAAAGCTGTAGGGTGCTTTTGGGGAATGACTAATCTAAGTAAGGTTTGTAATTTGGGTTTTCTTTCCCCCCCTTTCTCTGATACTTGTATGTCTGCTTGTAACTGTTTGCAGGTGTGTTATGAGGGTTGAAAGATGTTTGTCTTGCCTTGTTCAAAGGCTATGGGAAATGCAGTTTAACTCTGGAAAACCTGACAGATTAAAGGAAAGCTTTGGTTTATTAGAAAAAAATTTCCGGTTAAGAAGTTCTTCATGTATTGGGGGAACTTGTGAATTCTTAGCCCTTGTGGGCATGAAAATCAGTGGCGTTTTTGAAACCTTTGAACAGGAGTTGCTGACTTAGCCTGTGCCTTTCTGGGTCTGTGGCAGTGCTGAGCTCTGGGGACACATGGTAAATCAGAGAAATTCCAGGTGTTTTGCAAATGTGGCATTAAAAGTACACTGCGTGCAAAGCAGGTTGGTTAACAGCAGGGGTGATATCCATGAAATTTCACAGGAGTTTGGAGTGGGTGTTTGTCCATGCACTTGTTTGAAACTGTGGAAATAGGTACAAGTTTGGCCTCCTTATGGAAAAGGTGGACTCAGTCTTATCCTGTTTTCTGGGTGAGAAAGCATATTCCAACTCCCTGGAATATGTAGTTGGGAGGAATGAAATCAGTCCTTGGAAAGCTGAGGGCTACTCTAGGTATTTCATGGCATGTAAGGAAATTGCAAACACTCTAAATGCCTTAATTCTTTGAAACTTTCACTGATGTGCATGTGGTTCACCTGGATGTTTGACTGCTTATTCCAGAGTGAACCTTTGGCAGGTGGTGGAGCAGCCCTTGGAGTCTGTGCTGGTAGGAAAAGAAAGTTGATTCCACAACTTTTTCTGTTTGTTTGTTTGCAGCCATATGAGAAAAAGGTGTCTCCTTCCTATCTCCAGAGCATTGAGGATGCTTACAAGAAGACCTTCCTACCAGAGATCAGGTTAGCAAAGCAAAATATTTTGCCTCTTTAGGTCCTTGAGCAAAGGTGTGTGCAGATCTTAAACTCTCTGACAATATCAATAAGTCACGTAAAAAAAATCCACCTTGTTGTGCTGCAGGGTACAGTATTGTGCCATAATGAAGGGGTGGTGCATTCACAGCATAAGAACTGTGTGAGTGTAGTTACCTCTGCCATCCCAGAAGCCTAATGCCAGTGTTGGAAGATTAAAAGGGGCTCAGGAGTGATGTGCAGAATGCCACAGCTATGGCTGTGTGTGTTTGCTCGACCTGAGGAGAGAGTGATGCAATACAAGCTTTTCTCAGGCCTTTTTGGAAAGCTGTAGGGCTTTTGTTTCTTCAAAAAGTCCTTTCAGTTTTCACAGAATCCCAGAATGGTTTGTGTTGGAGGGACCTCAAAGCTCATCCACTGCCACTCCCCTACCATGGGCAGGGAAACCTTCCACTATCCCAGGCTGTTCCAAGCCTTGTCCAACCTGGCCTTGGACACTTCCAGGGATCCAGGGGCAGCCACAGCTTCCCTGAGCACCCTGTGCCAGGGCCTGCTCACCCTCAGAGGGAAGGATTCCTTCCCAGTACTACATCTCTCACTGCCCTCTGGCAGTGGGAAGCCATTCCCCGTGTTCTGTCTCTCTCTGGGCTTTCTCTAGGTGGGAAGCAGAAACATGTGCTCTGTAAACCTGGGATGGAACAGAGCTTGCCAGCTCTCCCAGTTCTTAGAAAAGAGCTCTAGGGAAATGAAAATCATCCTAAAAATCTAAAAGCAGAATTACAGTCTCTCATAATTCTGGCAGGGAAACTCTCAAAGGGTATCAAATGAATTAAATGTGAAAGTTCTGGTGTGTGCAGGAGGCTGATGGAAATCAGAGTGAATTCCTGGGAGTTTTGTAGCCTGCCTGTGTCCCGCTGGTGCTTTCTTCATCTCCCCAGGTGGATCAGTGTGATGGCTCTGGCAGCTACTGAAGGGAATAACTCGATGTTGAGCCTGTCACTCATGCAGGCAGGGGTTGTTGGTGTCATGGATATGTGTCCCCACAGCCAGCACACAGCTCTCGAAAGGAATGGGAAACCTTGGGAATGTCATCCCCCTGAGGGCAAACTGCTGTAGTCACTGGTGGGGAGAAACCTGCTTCTTGTTCTCTGGGTCAGATGGAGCCCCACATACATCTCGTGGTGCTCAGTGAGGCTAAATCCTATAAATCCTGCTTGATTTCACCTTTTTGCCCTCTGTGTGTACATGGTCAGTACCCCTACCTAGCAGACCCTCTGCTTGGCATCCTGGTGGCAGGTGCTCCCAGCAGCCTGTCACACTGATCTGTGGCTCTGTCCCCTGGCTCTGGCGGAGCTGAGAGTGTGTGAATTCAGCTCTCTGCACCTCAGGGTGCCTCCCATCTGGGATAAAGGCAGAAGCCACAGCTGCCTTTAACTGTTTGTTTGCTGGCAGTGGTGCAGGCAGCTGTGTTTGCATCTGTTATCTTAGACTGCCTGGTTTGATTCCCTGACTCCTAGGCAGGCTAAAAAGAATTGTTATAGACTGCTGAGCAAACTCTTGCATGCTTTCCATGTTGAAGTATGTCTGCTTGTTCCTTGAAAAGCAGTTTATGGGGCAAAACTCCCTTTATCTTGTGTTGTTTAACTGGAGCAGCCTGACGCTGCCTAAAGTGGTTTGTCATGGATTTTTGCTTTAAAATTGATGCTTTCTTTCTGGTTGACTTGTTGTGAATGTCTTTAATGTTTTTACTGGTAATGATTTGTGAGCTGGGTGCTGTGGCAGGTGCTGCCTGGTGATTTGGAGCAGACAGTGTTTGGGTTCTGTTTGATTTTTCCCTTTTCCTGGAGCAGAGCCTTAAGTTTAGTAATGTTCTCTTTCACATCCAACACTGCTTCCACTGAGCAGCTGTTTTCTCTTAAGGAAAGCTCTGATAACCTGCAGAGTCACTGAGCAGCTGTTTTCTCTAAATGAAGCCCTGATAATCTGCAGAGTCAAATCAAGAGATGGGATCAAGTGATTTGATAGGAGTTGTTGATGCAACTGCCAGTTTCAGGCTCTGCTGAAGGCTGACCTCTCCCTTGGGCTGATTCTGAGAAGAGTCTCGTGTTCCAGCTGCCTGCCCCATCCTTAGAAGTGTCCAAGGCCAGGTCCTACAGTGCTTGCAGCAACCTGGGCTAGTGGAAGGTGTCCCTGCCCATGGCAGGAGGTGGAACAGGATGAGCTTTAAGGTCCTGTCCCACCCAAACCAGTTGGGATTCTATTAATTTTTTCTCCCTGCTCCTGAACTTTGCTGTGTGGTGTTTGATATAATGTCCACATTTGGCAGCCATTCCAGGGCCTTCCAGGTTTTCCAGCTGGAAACAGCTATTGCTGAATGTGGTTGAACACATGTAGTGTGAAAGGTTCATGTAAAAACTCCTGTTGTGGCTCTGCTCTGCAAGTGCCTTTTCTCTAAGGGCTGCTGGCTGATTGAAAAAACAATCTTTTAACCAGGAAACATTACCTTTTAAAAATGTTTTTACACTTACAGATCCTGCTGCCTGCATTTGTATTCATTCAGCTAGCTCAGCCTGAGTAAATAATGATAAATGAATGCATTCGTCTCTTGAAATTACTCAATGGCAGTCATGCACTGGTAAAAAGGAATGTCTAGTGAAGTTCTGGATTAGACCTACAGTTTCACTTATTTTCAAGTAGATTGGGCAGCTGTAACAGGGGCAAATATCCCCATTAATTAAATGTAAACAGATTCATATGTATGGTTTTTACAAATGATTTTCAACTCAAATTATGTAGATATCCAGGCCATTTGCCCTTTAAAAGCAACTTTCCACCAGCAAAGAAGCAGCTCACAAGTGCAACAGGAATTCTATTGCAACAGCTGGGAGCAATCTAAAAAACTGCAATAATTCTGGTTTGGTTTGTGCCTTTTAACTTAATTTCTGCTGCTTTTGGAGTGGGGTGAGGAGGATGGGTAGAGCAGTTTTATCAGGGGAATTCAATTTCTGTGTTCTTTGCAGTGAGAGCAGTGAAGTTCTGCAGTACACAGCAACTGCAGCTGAGGATGTGGAGAAGGTAAGTTTTGCTTTTTTGGGGGTGAGTTTAATAGATTTCCCTTATTTCTGTGTGCTTCCCCCCCATGGGAGGTTGTTAGCAGGATAACAGAAGCTTTTTTGCTTCACCATCATTAAATTTTCTCTCTAGCTACTGTTCCCGTAGGGGAAGAGCACCAAGGTTTTTGAGACTCCGGACAGGTTTAGTTCACGGGATAGATCTCTGTTAATAACAGAGTTATTATGTTAACTGCATAATAATAATGCACGTGGAAGCTTGCCAAGGAACCATCCCTACTTGGGAGGGGGAGGACGAGAACTGCTCCTGGGCTGTCTCCTAAGGGCTTTTTTGGGTCTTCATCCTAATGAGGTGAAAGTCTTACCTTACTTATACACAGCCCAAAGTCCCTCTTCTTTTGTGTTATGTGCAGTGTGATCTTGGCAGAGAATTGAGTAATAGATCTATAGATGCAGTAGCCTGTACCTCATTAAGCTTATTAGCATATTCAGAGCATGCATTTTAATATGTAAATGACCCCTATCAGACTAAAATTACTTTTTTGCCTGAGGTGTCCTTCATAATTCTGGTTATATGATTCTGTGAAGCAGAAAATATTGATGAGGACTATCCTGGTCCTAAAATGAACTCTCCATAGCCCCCCCCGTAGATGCACTGCTGTTTGTCACTAGGCCTTTTGGTTCCCATTACAAGAACAGAATTCTGGGTTCTCTGCAGTTGTGCATTGATTTTTGGGTGCTCTGCACTTGATAATAAAGGTTATCATTAATAACTAGTAGACCTGTGGGGAAATGTGAGTTTATACCCCTAAAAAGGCTGGTGGCTTCAGTGTGACAGCAAATAATAAATAGAAAAATTATACCAAAAATCAGGCTGAAATGAACAAAACAGCTGAGGCTGTGGTGTGAACATAGAGAATCTAGAGCAATTACAGTTAATTTTTCTGGATAACAATATAGAAGCAAGGAAATGAATTGAGAGCTGTGGTGTTTCAAGATGGGAACTTGGTGAATTAAAGAAAAAGTGGGATGGGGGTTAAATGCCTCTTTTTTTCCCTGTCTTTCTGGACACATCTCATAGTGGTCAGAGTAAGGCAGCTTGTTTCCTCCCTAGATTTTTTTTGTAGTAAACCCCATGGCTAGAGATTTGATTTTAATCCTTTAAATCGGGGTTTAAAGTCAGTCTAAAGCTCTTATTTGTTCAAGGAGTGACTCTCCCGAGCTCAGCAATCTTGTCATTGCTCTAAATAGGGTCATCAGATGCACCAGAGGAGTCCTTAATTTGCTTGGACAAGTCTGGGCTAGGGGAAGGATTATTATTTGGAAGTTAAAGTACAATGCCACAGAATGATTAAGGTTGGAAAAGACCCTGTAAGATTATCCAGCCCATGATGCTGTCATTATTGGGTGTTGGTGGTAGATATTGGTACTTGGAAGAATTCAGTTGGTTTTTTTTCCCCCTTTTCTGTTCAGATTCAGTTCCCTTTGGGGTGACACAGCAGAAATTTGGAAATAAGGGTTGGTGGGAGGGCTGTGGCTTGTAAGATGTGTGTTTGCACAGGTGTATCCTCTCAACAGACAGCAGCGTTCATTAGCCCACTCCAGTCTGTTTGCTTAGGGATTTGGGAGCTGAATTCTTTATGGCCTTAAAGTTTAATAACTTTTGGTTTGCTCAGAGCACACATGCACAGCTTAGGAATTATTTTATAAGTGTCCTAAAAAGGTCAGTTGGGGTTTCCTGTTGTTTCCACAACTTTGGTTGTGGTGGCTGAAGAGGTAATGAGTGCTGAAATGAGCTTCATTAGGGTGTTCCACACTGGTTTAGCACAAGGATAAAATTTGGAATACAAAGTTAGCTGTATGTTTAATTTCTTTTAAAGCCTTGGATATCTGCTGCTAATTCCTGGGGGGTACCAGGGTATTCCTTATAAATTTGGAAGTTGTTGTTGGGTACTGATCCTGTCCTGGTTGGGATACTGATGCCATTGTTAAAGAACTGCTGGGGGAGAGATCTTCTGACATGATGATTACAGTGAGCAAAACTAATTTGGATACAGATTCTTTTTTCACTGTAGCACATTCTTAGCCCTATTGTAACAACTCTGTGATGGCTGTTATCAGGTGCAGAGAATTTCCAGAGCTTTGCTGTGGAAAAGAAATTGCTTGTGTTCATCTTGTCAATTAAATAATTGAAAGAATCTAATGACTGTTTGAACTAATTTACCTTGCACTGCTCTTCCTCTGGAGTTATGTTGCAGCAGTTTGTGCCTTGAAAGTGTTTATTCAGTCATGTCCAAACCATTTTTTCTTACCATGAAAACACAATTCTGGTAAGAGTAGATCTTTATAGTCAAGGCTACTTTGTAATAGCACTTGGTTGGTTATCATTTTTTAAGTGGTAATAGCTGGGATTTAGTGTTAATTACAGTGGATTTAGTGTAAAGAATACAAGGATTTTTCATCTAACTTTCTGTCACTTCATTGCTGACACGCGGTCACCTGTCAATGGGTTGACAATGCACCATCAGGGATTTGGTCATGACCTCAGCTTTATCCTTTCCATGTGGAAAAGGTCTCTGGAAAGGGATGTCTGGAGCTGTAACAATCCACTCCTACTCAGGCTGCTCCAAGGTGCTGTCTCCACCTCATCAGGCATCTGAAGTGCATTCTCCTGACACCAGGGCAGGTGTCCCTTCAGCTCCAGGCAGCCAAGTGTGATAAGCAATTACTTCCTGGAGCAGCAGAGATCTGTTCTCTGGCTGTTAACAAAGCTGAAACCTGGGATTGCTAAGTTTGGGGATGCTGAAGGAATGATTTGCTGAGCTGGCATTGCTTGTTGGAAGGGTTCTGAGCTGTGAGTGTTACCTTTCCTTTCATGCATGGGGGTGCCTGATGGCTGGTGAAATTCTGAGTCCTTGGACTCATGGCTGCAGCTGCAGCTCAGCAGGCCTGAATTTTCCAGCCTGAAATGTGCCTTTGTTTCTGTGATGTGAGCCACACAGCACAGAGGCAGATGCCACACCTGCTCCCCTGCCTGTCTTAGGGAATGTGTAACTGAGCCTCTCTGCGAATAAAACCAACCAGACATTATTTTTGTAATGAAAAGGAGTTAAATTTTACTTATCTCCATTTCCTCCTCATTCTCCCTTAGGGGGGTGAGGTGGTACCTTCATTGCTTTTCAGCCCCAGAGGCAGGTTAAGGAAGAATGTCTTGGATCAGGTAAGAATTTGGCAAGAAGGCACCTCTCAGGCAGTTTACTCCTTGTCACCCAAAGCTGAAAGCACAGGATGTTAGGAGATCCCCCACATGTGTGCCCAGTGCTCCTGGCAGGGCCACAGCATCCAGAAATGGAACTGGGAGATGATCATGTTATCCCTGGGCATTTGCCTTGTTACTACAGCTTTAGCAGGCAAGCCTTTCTCATTTGTTTAATAACCTATTTTAATTATTTCATTGATTTTTTTGGATCAAGCTACCCCTTAATGAGCTTTCTTTTCTGATTCCAGGTAATTGAAGACATCGAGTACCTGAAGTTTGACAAGGGGCCATGGGTGGAGCAAGATGATGTTTCTTTCCATCACTTGAGACTTTAGTAAGTGTGATGTCATTCAGCCACTGAACAATTCTTGGCATCAAAACCTGGGAAAAATGGTCAAAACCTTGAGTTTTTGAAGGTGGGGTTATATTTTGTAATATTGGTGCTTGGCACTGGAACGTGGTATGGCATTTTTGCTGCTGATTGATGAGACAAGGGGCTCCAGAGAAGTTTAAAGTGGTTTTTGTCAAAGATCCTTGTCTGCCTAATTGGAAGAGATCAGACTCAGACAGTGGAAAGTGTCTTGTTGGAATAGAATTTAATTTGATTTTAGTAATTCTTTGCAAGTGCATCATGTTTAATTTGGCAGTTTTGTTTGTATAAAATACAAAGATATATATATACATACATATCTATATATAGCTATATATATAAAGAATATAGTTACATTTTTAAGAGAAAATTTAAGCATTACATTATTTTCATTATTTTCTAGTCATCTCACATGTAAATAGAAACACAGTATCTGCCCCTAAATATGTGACTTTATGACAGGCATTGGAGTAGCAAGTTAAACTCTTTTTTCAGACTTGTGATATTTCATGCATTTTACTTTTCTGTGCTGTTACTTCAAATACCTCCTAAAAACAGAGATAATGCTCCTATTGTATGTTTTTTCTATCGAGGAGGGAAGGAAGATCACAGAAGAGCAGTGCTTGGTGTTGTCTGACAGGAACAAGTGATGATTTGGGTGCATTTTACGTATCAAAGATGAAGTTTCTTTGTGTAGTAATTGGAGGATAACATCTGGTGACTTAGGCCCTAAAAAATGCTCACAATCAGACTTCCTTTCAAAGAGGGGGTAAATTGCTTGTTTTCCTGGAACTCGACACTAGTGCAGGTATTAAGAAAGGATTTTTAATTGTGGTGAGTAGGAGGGAGTTGAAGGAAACCTTACAGTTAGAGCAGTGTGTTAAGATACTGCATGAAAATTCTATTTCACAGTTTTAGAAGGGAATAAATTACTTTAAGGACTCAATTTTTCATTGAATCCTGGAGAAGGATGAGAGAGTCTCCTGCTCAAGGGTCTTTGTCACTGTAGGTAATATGAAATTATTTCTTCTTTTGGCAAAAACACGGGGTTGTTTGAAGACCCCAGAATGCAATAAACAGCTTGTTTAAACCACAGAATCGTAAAATATCCTGTGTGGAAGGGACCCACACTGTTCATGGAGCCCAGCTCCTGGGGTTTGCTTTTGAATCTTTGTGCTGAGGTGTCAGGACATCGATAAAGGGCTGACAACACATCCTGTGCCAGTCTCGAGCTCATGCCTTGCTCAGCTGAGTGGGGGAGTCTTGGGCAGCATCTCAGGCAGCCTGGGAAGAGCCTCTTGGTAAAAATGTGTGTGTTTGGACATGATCATTCCCCATGGTAACTCCAGAAACGCAGGGAGCCCTTGTTGGAATTGTATGCTGGATTCAATGCCTGGCCTAGGTGTGAGTCTGTGAACTTAAGCTGATGCTTTTCTCACTTTTTCCATTGCCCGAGTAGTAACGAGCCTGTGGTCCCCAAGGTGTGCAGGTGTCCCGTGCCTGTGGGAGTCTTTCCTTTAGAAAGTGATTTTCCTGCAGGTCCCCAGTGCCTGCTCGTGCTGGCACATGCTGCCCTCTCCTGGGTGCTCCTGGCACCAGGCATCCATTCAGGATGGTTCAGGCTTGAAAAGCCCTCTGAGACTGGGGAGTTCACTGTTTCCCCGGTGCTGTCGAGCCCATGTCCCCAAGTGCCACACCCACATGGCTCTGGAACGCTTCCAGGGACACTGATTCCACCATTGCCTGTTCCAAGGCCTGGCCCCCCTTCCCGTGAGGAAGTTTCCCCTAAGATCCAATAGAATGCTTGGCTTTCCACCTGCAGTCGCTTCCTTTGCTGGCCTGCCAGCCCTTGGGACTGCGTCAGCAGTGTTCCCTTCCACCCTCTGCTCACACTGATGCCTTGAGGAGGCTGACCTGGAACAGAGGCTGGACAGAGTTAAGAATAAAGCAGGTATTTATTGAAAGGCCTTAAAGGACACACCTTGGGCAGTTCAAGAGCCTGGCCAGGGCTACACCCAAGAGGGACCCAAAATGGTCACAAAATGGATGACTGGTCATGAGGTCTCACATTTTTATCAGTTTTGGTCCATCTGCATATCAGAGTCTAATTACAGCTTCAGGTTATGAAGTCCCAGCCTTCTTGTTTTCTCTCTTCAGTCCACCCCTGTTTATGCTTTTGGGCATGAAACTTGTAACAACTGTCCTTGGTTTCAAGCTAGAAAAGGGTTTTGTCTTCCTGCTGTGTGAAGAGAGCTCGCTAACACTTAACATGAAGCTGAAAACTACATACCTAGGTAGCACAGACTATGAAAAATAGGAAAGCTAAAACTTAAGGCATCAGCACCAGCTTGTCTGGGGGTCTGGGATGGGTGAGCAGGGCTGAGAACTTCTTTATTGCACACGAGTAGGGCCTAATGGAAACCCCAGCAGGGCCTCTGGGTGATTAATGCAAATTAGCCAGCTAATGAGCTGCACCCATGGGCAAGCAGTTGCATAATGATCCCTTTTATCCCCCTGCCTGCCCTTAGGTGCTCTCTCTTGTCCTGACAGCTGTAGCTGTGGGATCTTGATAAAAGGTTAAAAGGGCCTTCATTTGTGCTTTGGGAGCTGGAGGGGACTTCCAGAGGATGTTATT